ATGTTAATTTCGTTTTTTTTTAAGTTAATAACATGTGTCACGATATTAATGGTGTGTGACATACACTTGCTGGGAACAAAGTGATCAAGCATCGAACATGTGTGTCTTAGGGACACTTTGAAAAGGTTAGGTTTGTAAAGGGTTACTCGTATTAAAAACATATGTAAGAAGGATTTAGCCTCAAAGTCAAGGGGTAAATTATGTATTTTTTCCAAAAAGGAATAATATCAATAGTTTCAAGATATCCTTAACTATAAGTTGAAGCATATGGCCTTGCTTGTTGCATCCAATCTCGAAAAGCCCATTATTTGAAGGAAAACTGCCTGTTATGTCCATTTATAAGTATCTCATTACAAAAATTGGTCAAATCATAAAATATTACTAAATTACTAATTAGCCAATTAGCTATTTGTAGCAAAAAAAAAAAAATCAAATTTTTGTTTTCTTTTGAGTGGGTGTTATTAGAATAGATTGGGTACATCTTAAGGAGCTTGAATCGCAATTTTGAAATGATTTGGTGTAGTTTTGAGGTGGTTTGAATTGAAAATTCAAAGTAAAAATTGAACATAGAAAAAATAATATGTGTATCACACTGTGTATCACATATGTATCAAATGTGTATCACATGTACATCCATGTATACATGCATGTGAGATACATGTTTGATACATGTGTCGCAGAAGAATTTTGTGAACTCGATTTTAACTACGAATTTTGATACCAAATCAGTCCAAATCACCTCCTATCTTCCTCAAATTTTGTATACTGACTCATCTATATGTTTTCAATGAATCTCAACCATACCCATTGAAAAAAGTCCTTTTTTTCTTAAATTTTTGGAATCTTGTATATATATATATATATATATATATATATTTGTATTTCATCACCTTATTTGCTACCTCATCTATAAAATTTTCTTTCCGTCTTGTATCTAATGTTGCAAATCACGCTTAAACATATGGAAGGAGATCTTTGTGTGTGATTCTTGGAGAAAAAGAACCTTATTTCTTTGGGTTTTTAATTTTTACATGTGTTTGGCTAGTTTTGGTAAGTTTACAATTAATGGCTAGAGGTTGGTAAGTTGTGACTTTTTTGGGACATTTCTGTAAGATTCTCAGGCACTTTGTTTCAAGAGAGAACTTCATTTATAGCCCATCAGGCAAAATAAATTTTATCCGGTAGCCCACAAATTGATTCATACAAGTCATAGCCTAAAAATAAAACAAGTGCTAGCCGGAAACTTTACTAATTCCCTCGCCGGAAATCCAGCCAGCCAACTATGACCATGACTGCTCCTCTCGCTCAATCATCAAACAACAATTTTTCCACTAAAATCTGCCAATTACAATCTCAAAGTTCTTGCTATAAGTAAGTACCCTTTAATTTCTTGAGCAAAACTAAAAATAAAGAGTACCTACCCTTTATTTCTTTGTTCTTTTTTCTTTCTCTTTTCCAGCTGTGCTTTTGCTTTTTCTTTTTTGGTCCACGAGTTACTCTTTTTTCTTGTTGTAGAAAGCAAAAGCCTCCTCTTTTGGTTCTTCTTTTTTATTGGGTTTAGATCTCAATTTTCAAGAAATATAGAGTAATATATATATTTTTTTTTTTTTTTTTTTTGCTTCTGCTTCTTTACTCAGAGTAAGCTTTTAATTCATTTTGATTTCTCCTTATTGTTTTTTGGTAGTTGAAGACTTTATCTTGAATCTTCACATTTCAATCAATAATCTTAAGGTTATGTTTTTAAATGCTTTACTTCATATATGTAGTTGGTGATCTAAAAATTTAGTCTTGGATCTTCATATTCATTCGTAGAAAGTGGGTTTAGGGTTAGGATTAAGGGGCTAGGTTATATTACTTTACATTACAAAATTCAGTAAGTGATTTACTCCTCGAAACAAATTTCACCAACAGATGCAAAAGTCACAAGCTCAAAGTAAGTGGATTTTGAATTTTACTCGTCAATTCGCTTCGCCCAATTCATCAAATCACTAAATTAATAGTATTTCAATTTAACGGAACAATTCCAAATCTCACTTTTCAGTAACAAACAAACATTAACAGAAGTTCCAAACCCAGACATGAGTTTCTTTTCCCGATTCAAAGTGCAGAATCAATGACATCAATAAGAGCAATAGCGGAATTTCTTTTTTAATAGTCTGATTTTGAGTTTTGTGGCGACGGGTAAAAGTCTAGATCTTCTTATTTCGGCAGTGGTGTAGCATAAGGCTCAACCTTGTCTTCTTCTATGATTTTCTCTTATAGTTTCTGTGAATATGTAGATAATATTTTGAAGATCTTTGGCTAAAAGTTTAAAACTTTGGCGATCTTGTTACCATTTTCGGCGACTGTGAGGCCTTGGACGTTGGTGGCTGATTTCTCAATGAGAGGAAGAACAGAGGAGATGATTATGCATAAAGTTGAAATATCTACAAAACATACTGTTATTATACAAAAATTATACAAAATAGACTGTCACTATACAATTTATATACAAATAGACTGTCACTATACAATTTATATACAAATAGAGTGTCACTATACAAAATATATACAAAAATAGAATGTCATTATACAAAAAATATACTAAATAGACTGTCATTATACAAAATATGTACAAAATAGACTATCACTATATAAAAATATACTAAATAGACCGCCACTATACAATTTATATACAATTAGTTCTCACTATACAAAATATATACAAAATAGACTGTCACTATACAAAATAGACTGTTACTATACAAAAGATATACAAAATAGACTGTCACTATACAAAATAGACTGTTACTATACAAAAAATATACAAAATAGGCTGTCACTATACAAATAGACTGTTACTATACAAAAATTATACAAAATAGACTGTCACTATGCAAAAAATATATAAAAATAGTCTGTTATTATACAAAAAATATACAAAAATACTTATCAGATCCAGAAGTACATTTAAAAAGGCAAAAGAGGGTTGCTCTATCGAGCCAAGTGAGGGTCGAACCTATGACCTTCAGCTTAGGAAACAAGCGCTCTAACCATTGAGCTATAAGCACTTATGTTGTTGTGTTTATTCCTTTTGGCTTCTATATGCAATACGTTTGGGCCGAAGGGCCATTTTTTGTAAGTAGGACAAAACATGGGCTATTAAAATTTTGAGGGGCGATAGAAGGTAGTTTTCTCAAAAGAAAGAAAATCATGATCCATAAAATCAGTTCTTCTTTTTCCCTCTTTAATAAACTAGTTCATTGTTTATTCTGCTTTAGAGAAGCTTGAAAAAGATTTCGAGTAATACCTCAAAGTTAAGTGGAGAAAAGTGCTAAAAATGTCAAAAAGACTTGAATATAATTAATGTAGAGTGGAAACATACAAAACATAAGTATAAAATCTGAGAACTCTATAAAAGTACCTCACAAAATGAGGGTACTGTCCAACACATAGCACAAAACCTATGTATATATCAAAGCTGAAATTTCATCAAAAGACTAACTTTGCTTCTGAAAGCAACTTCATGTCCTTTACCCTCTTACCACAAGATTGAACACAGGGCTCCACTTAGCAAAAAAGCAGAAAAAAGTGCTTGTTATGTACCAGAAAGGGAGGATGTTTTGGTTTTGTTGGTTTTTAAGGTTGGTGGTGAGGGGTGAAAAAATGGATCATCTGTCCAATTCTTCTCTCCCCAATGCTTTAACATACCCTTCCAATTGCATAACCTGTCTGTACATCTCTTGAGTCGTCGATCTTTGATCTTGATTTTCCAATGTCCATCAACATATTTTGCCTTCTCTGCTTCCCTTCTGTCCCATTCCAATTGTGCCTTCTGCTTTGATCTCAGCAGGCAAAAGTCCTGCAGCTGCTCGGGCATTGCATCGTGCACTTTCCACCACTTGTGATGTGCAACATCACTCGCGAATTCTTGTAAGATGTCTACGTTCCAGTTGCAATCATAGTCCCGAAAACACAACCATGGCTTGTATCCGAGGTAATGTAGGACATAAAGAATTGGAGGTTCAGCCCCGAAAAGATGTGTTTTCTTTGCTTTCACTACTTCATCGTCGCCAATCCAGAAGTTTTTCAAGAAGTTCATATGCTTTGGTATCCGATGCCACCACGTGAATATCTCGTTTAGGTAGCCTTGGTCGCCTCCATTATAGGACTCAATCTCATTTATGTGATCCATTAGGAGCTGAAACGTGCAATTTGATGGCTCGATAACCATGACTCCAGAGTTAAAAAGCGTTCCATTGTTTCCCGTGGCTGAAATCTGTGGCATCCTAAATAAGATGTCTATATTTCTAAGTATAAGCAGATCAGCATCAATGAATATGATCTTGTCATAATCAGTCAGTTGCCATAGTCTGAATTTGCTATAATTCCACTCATTGTAGGCATCTTTCTCAGCTTTAGGATTTCTTATTCTTTGTATTGTCCTAACTTGCCAGCCTGCTGCTTCAAGTCCACTTCTATGATACTGACCAATCGAATCGTCAACGAGAATCACAAGGTCTCGTGTCGACCCTGCCATTCTAATGCTTTGTGCTGCTGCTATGGCTCCACATACATACACATGAGCTGAATGCAATATCGTTGCATATGCTTCGCGCCTTTTGTTCGCCGAATGTTCTTCCTCTGCTGTCATAACACAGACAACTTCACATTGAATTCTTGATATGTCTATAGAATTCACATTGAAAGAAGGAAAAACAATAGTGTATCTTTACCTGTTGTACCAAAGGGAAGTGCAAGTTCACATGATCCAACAGGAAGTTGAAGTTTTTCTCTTAGAACACTCAAATCTGGCTTGTACAACCACGCGTTACCTTTTCTAGCAACGAGCTCGTTGCACCTATAAAGATTCGGTATTGGGAAGCATTTGGTTATGAAAAGCATATGGACAGGATGTTTACCCTTAGCAGAGGAAGCTAAACCAGCAGCAGCAAGTTGCAAGTGCAATCGCGCAACATCTCTAGACCAATTCCCTTCATTTCTACAAGGTAACTTGACAGCTATGAGATCGATACGAGTCCTAGGGACTTCTAGTTTTGGCAAAGAAGGACAACTTGGAACTTCATTTTCTTGTTCTTCATCAATCCACTCAGGGTACAATGTTTCCCATGTTATGTTTTTTTCGGCATAGTCAAGGTGAAGGACTGTTTGGTTGGCACTAGGAACAACTTGTCTCCATTCAATGATTTCATCTTCGTCGAAATTAAGAAGACCTATGTTCTCAACAACTTTCTTTTCAGGCAATTGTTCTAAAACTTGAGATACTTCCTCCCAACTGATGTCAACATCTGATATGTATCTAGGATCTGTAGCACCCCATATCCACCTGTTCACAAAATGTTGCCTGCATTATATAATTTGTTTCCATTAATAACGAGTTAAGGACTATGCTATGACCAATTTGGAGGATTTAATGTTAGTGACCAGGAAAGAACCCCTCTGATTAATTTCCAAGTAAAATCCTTAGTAAGCTGTTTTAATATTTTTTCTCTCTCCAATTTTCCTTCTCTTTTCTAGCGGAGGGTCTATCGGAAATATCTTCTCTGTCCTCCGCGGTAGGGGGTAAGGTCTGCGTATACACTATCCTTCCCAGACCCTACTTGTGGGAATTCACTGGGTTTGTTGTTGTTGTTGTTGTTTCCTTCACTTTTCTCCTAAGATAATTTTTCTAGGATAGCCTTTCAAGATTCTTAATATAGTAAATTATCAAAAAGACAAGGAGCAACTAGCCAGATTTCATCTATCAACCTTTTCTTTTTCAAAGTTCACCATGCTATAACTTGGTCAAAGTATAGAATACAAGAAAAAAGAAGCAGAACATACCTTGAATCTGAGGCATTTTTATTTTGACAAACGGAGTTGGAGGAGAGAATCAAGAAGAAAGTGGCTATTACAATGACAAATAACACAAGCTTTAGAGGATGGAACTTGCAATTTGTACTCTTCTCTTGAAAAGGAAATTGAAGAGGCTTCACTCCCACTTCCTTAACTTTGATTTTTTGTAACCTTCTTTTGCATGCATCTTCTCTGTAAAATGGTTATAAAAGAAAATGTATTAATTAGAATTATAATGTCCTTAGCATCTCTTTACATTTGGCTAAGTTATAAGTATATAATGACACTTCAAAAATTGATTTCTAGTCCACTATCCTCTATTTTGCTGCTAATTGTCTTTGAAATAGCTATACATTTTACCCGTGAGACTTAATTTACATAGTTAGGTTGCGAGCAATACGTTTGAATGCTACCTCCAGCAATATCAAATAATAAAGGCATAGCTAACAATTTTAACCTTATGGGTTCTGAATTTTAGATGGACAACTTCAGGTGATAATGACCGGGTTCTAAATTTAATTATTATACAAAATTTAATAAATTTCTTCATACAAAGATACTGCGTGAGCTAAAGATACTAGATTCGGTCAAACCCCTAGCTCATCCGCCCTGATTTAGAGCCTAATGTCTATATATGGGTACTGTATAAAACTTACTTTTTAAATCATAAATAATAATTATAGCAACTTGAAAAGTAAAACAGACAACTTGTGTCATATAGAAGCTTTTATATATATATATATATATATATATATATCATACTAAATAACTATAATTATTAGACGTATTAACTTATTAACTTGAAGTCGTAAAAATTCATAAACTTTAAATTCTTATTTCGCCTCGTATATGACACAGGCACACAGCCTAGCTGCTTGAACAACTAACTAATCCGTCCTTTAACAAATGAGATTAAAGATTTCATCTTACATACTCTCATGGAAAATATTAATTTTTGAAACCTAGGTTGTAACAGTTGCAACTCTTCACCTACCACATGTTGGACCAACTTGTTCAATAAATCTCTAAAAGGTTGCTTAGTCTAATCATACTAAGATTTTAAAAATGAAAAAATATAACTACTCCACCTTCCCTCTACCAATATATCTTCATACTCACATGGTTTTTATTTTCCTTGCCTATGCTATTAAACATAATATCTACTTTTCAAAATTTTTAAAGAAAAAAAAAAAGACACAGAAATTCGAAAGTAATAAAGGTTCTGTACTTTAAAAAATAAGACCACAACAACGGAATTAATTAGTGTATGCTACAAGTGTGATACGTTTTCTAGTAAAACTTAGTTTCTAAGTATTTTTTTTTTTTTGGGGGGGGGGGGGGGGGATCTTTACTTTAAAGGAACCAACAATTAAGACTAATCTGTGTAGGAAATTAGTATAATCTATAAATACGGTGCATTATCTAGTAAAACGTAATTGCTAAGCTATCAACTATTAATTATAATTCTTTCCTTGTGAAAATGTTATGACATGGACTTTTTTTTTTTTTTTTCATGTATTGCAATTTTCAGCCAGAATGTTAAAATCTTGTACTTTGAGGATATATTATTTTCACAAGAATTTTTAATATACAGTATACAATCATTTTAAATAAATAGCCGATAAAATTATTTGTGGGCTTTACGTCATTTTCCTCGTAAGAAGACTTGGCATGTAGTGAATTTTTATACTATCAATATATTTTACATATGCTTATAACAGGTCTTACTTCCTATTCAGAGGATTAAAACTTAATTTGATGTTTAACGAATTGATTTTCCCCTCCTATCAATGAAATACAATAATGAAAAGAATATCTCTTTGCACTTTCCAAATAAAATTATATATTTTGATGAATTTAACAAGAAAATAAGTAGAATGAAATAGAATGAAAAGAAATACTCACATTGATCTTCTAGCCTCCATATGAGATCTCCAGCTTATTCCACTCGTATAAAAACTTTTATGAGAATAATTAAAACCAGGAACAATAATCTGCCAAAACGTATGGAAAAAAAATACACATTCAATTAGTTTAATAAGAAATGCTGCAAATTCTATAGGAAAATATACAGTACTCTCCATCATTGGCAATGACTAAGACAAGTGAAAGATGGATTTGCAAAGTACACAAAAACTAAAAGATGATATGATTACTTCAGAAACAATAAATGCTCTGAAAATACATATATCAAATAAAAGGAGAAACCATATCCTTTTGATCAATGACAATTTGAGAATTTAAAGTCAATAACAAATGTGATCTTATTATGTATAAATTTTTAAATCTTTTTGTATATGTAAACATAATTCGAGCAAAAAACAATTAGTTCAATTCAACAATAGAACCTGTCCTAAATCCGTCTCCATGTTTCCATACTAAAACATTGAGAAAAAAATTAATAGAAGACGAAGAAAGATATGTAGAGAAAATAATTCTACAATAATAACAAACTCAGTATAATTCCACAAGTGGGGTTTGGAAAAAGTAATGTGTATGCAGATCTTACCCCTACCTTGCGAAAGTAGAAATGATGTTTTCAATAAACCGTCGGCTCAAGAAACAACAAAAAAAAAGAAAAGATAATACCACAAAAGTTAAAATCTACCTTTGCAAATACTAGGCAATGAGAAACCACATGGGAAACAAATTCTTGTTTTTTTTTTCTTCTTTCTTCTTTATTTGTGGTGAAGAAGGTTTAAGTTTTGTATGAGAAGAGAGGAAAGAAGAAAGGAAACACTCAACTATAAGATAGAACTACTTCTTTCTGATTGAATTCTCCAACTTTTTAACATATATAGATATTAATGAAGTTAGAATAAAATATATGTTGTGTGAGATGTGGAACTATTTTCTGGTGAGAATACCAAAAAAGAAAATTAAAATATGTCTTTTCAAGTCAATAGCAAGAACCAGTTTTTCACCAACTTCTTTGCTTTCGAATTGTCTCTCTTAGAAATGAATAAGGAAGAGAAGAATAACATGTTTTCTTGATGCTTTCCTTTTCCTTTCCCTTTTTTAAATCTTTTACAATATAAATCATTCTATAAATGTAATTATTTTGTCTTGGAAAATTATATTTCATCTTTTTACACCTCTTTTCACCCTTCTGTTTTCTTGAAATGGTAGCTAGGGCAATGTAAAGGGAGATATTTTTAATGATCTAATCCCGTGTACCCTAACAATATAACAAAAAATTACTATGCTCTTTGTCCTATTCTATGTGGTATACTTTTATTTTAGTTTGTCCCATATTAGAGAAAAAATTAATTTTATATTTCTCAATTTTCTCTTAATGATATGAGTTATAATCGCACAAATGTTCATAGCTTGTTCAGAAATAAGTTTTAAAAAGTATTTATTTTGTGTTTATTGTGCAATGTCAAATACCGCACATAAAATAGGACGGAGAAATATATTGTCGGTGAGCAAAATTTAAACTCCATTTTAAATAAAATTCTTAGATTCAATAAGATAAGCTACTAGCATTTTCACTTATCGACGGTTAGAGTTGAATATGTCTAAGAAAAACAATGATTAGACATGAAAAACCATATGAAAATTAATCCTCAACTATTTGAATCCAATAAAATATAAAATAAAAGAAGGATTCTCTTAGGAGTATTTTTTTTAATAAAGAAAAATATATTGAGGTTGTACTATGTACATTTAGAAGGTAAGATGAATATTTACTTAATGGGAATAATACTAGTAGCTAGATTAGGTCAACGAAAACAATGTGTTTAGTTGATGGTATGCCTGTCTCGAGAATTATGATGTGAAATTGGTGATTAATAAGTTATATCTAATTACTTAATACCAAAGAGAGAGAAGGTTAATCATTTTCGTTAGGTGATTTTGGATTATCCCAATAACAGTCTCTCGCTGGTAAGTTTAATTAATGCCTCTTATCTCAATTGGTTTTATTTAAGGCAAAATATAACAACTAATAATTTGATTAGAGTTAGTTTTGCCTTCTTTTTTCTTTGTTGTTAAGTGGTCCATATTAATTATATGTGAATCATTTGGTTGTAGTAATGCCTACTCAATTAACTGGTCAAAAGGTGATGAATTTCTTTAAGACTTTTTTTTTTAAAGAATTTTTTTTATGAATCTCTTTGTCACTGATTCTTTCTTTCCTTATTTTGTCAATCTCCACAAAGAAAATCTTTTTCTTTCTTTTCTTTTGCCAAATTCACTGAATGCATCGGCTTACTGATTCGATAAATTCACTGAATAATTTGTAATGACAAGAAGGACATACATAGTAAGATTTGATGCATTTATTTCTTTCTATTTATTTACTTATCCATTTAATTTTCATGAAAAGGGCAAAGGGTACATACCATTGGATGTCTATTTGGACAAAGACTAAAGGGGTAATATTTCCCAATGTTGCTAAGATGGAGCTATCCTAATACGTTACACAATCTCAACAATTAATTATGTAATCAAGACTTTAGTTATACGTGTAATTTCTTACATTAAGAAGTAAGTCGACATAGGAAACAAACCTCTCTCTATCTTTTGAAGGTAGAGGTAAGGTTTTGATACACACTACCCCTTTCTCATACCTATTTGTGGGGGCAACACTAAGTTTGTTGTTGTTGTAACAAGTTAAGTCGACCTACATGTAATAACATGTCCGCCTTCATAGCAAATCTGATATAAACTAGAAAGTAGAGTAATTATAAGTATTACTTTACAATATACTGTAAAAATTATTTATACTGTTAGTGTATATGTATAACTCCTTTAATTAATTGGGCATTATCATGATAACCACAAGGGATCAAATATACATATAATAAGTTGGAAAGCTTGAGAGAGGAGCAAAACAAAGAGATTGAAAATGAGGTATGTGCTAAAGTAAGCAGAAGAAGCAATCTACTTGGCACTTTGGCAGCTACAGAAATGTCTTTGTTTGAGACATACGAATTTTGGTGAGTGAAACCTTGCACCCATCGCTACGTATCTCTTTGTTACTCCACTGCCAACCCATATGTATTTAACAAATATATATATACTTAACTAACTTCTATGAATAGACATGCACGTAACATACTAGTCGTCAATGAAGTAGGAGAAAAACCATGAGAACGTAGCAGGCTCAAGTCACGGAGGCAAAAAAAGTAATCGGTGATCTTTCCCATATGTAAACTATAGTGGGCATAGTTATCCGGTATCTTTGTTGGTGGGAGGTAATCGATACCCGATAAAATTGATTGATAACGTGATAAACTATGCTATAACAAGTTAAACCTCACTAATAATGCAAACAGTCTTTATACAATTAGCGCACATATATAATTTAAATCCCAATTGTTTAAAGCTCTTTAACTATTTTGCTTGAACAAATAATTCTTGAAATATGCAAGCCACGCGCAAGAACTACTACAATTAGAAAAATAATTGCAGAAATATCATGCTTGAAAAACTAATTTCTTGAAATATGCAAGATACGCGAAAAAAAATACTGCTACAAATTAGAATAATAATTGCAGAAATATCATGACATGAGAAGATTTAAAGATTTAACCATTTGTACAAGTAGCTGTCGTCCAACGGAAGTGTATAATAGTACCAGAACTTTTAAAGGATAAAATCAAGAAACCTTGGGATTGAATTAATGAAGTTGACATGCAAAACACTTGGTTGATCACTATTACATCAACGTAAATAATGATGCTTATAATCCATCTCAACATTGAGAAAAGGAAATGTATCCTAATAATATTCTCTGATGCAAAGGTTGATGAAGAGTATTTGTCTGTGTGAGAGATACACATATGTCTATACTCTATACATACATTTATCATATATGTAATAGAGGCGGATGTCTGACACCAGATTTAATTGAATCCATAACTTTCGACACGGAGTATATATAAATTTATGGTTAAATAGTGCAAGCAGATTGAGAACATACAACCATTAATTATCTAATTAATTAATCCTAAATCCTAATACAAAGTTAAAACCTTTATAATTACAGTGAGCTGCCCACTCATTGAGGATGGTTGATCTATATGTAAAAAAGAGAAATATAATAAAAACCATTCTATTACTCTAAATATACCAGGCTTTGAACAATGCAGTAAGTGTGGAGGCTCATCCCAATTATATTCATTATTTACTCGATGTTGGGCATTATGTTCAGTCCTAGGGGTGTAAGAGTGTTGAGTCTCACATCAATGACGATGAGAAAAACTAGTCTTTTTAATATAATTTTCGTCAATCCTCAGCTCACGATCTAATTTTTGAGATTGAGTTAGCTCCACTGTCCTTTTGTTATCATGTGTGCTTTCAGTTCAGTTTTCCTCTTTAAATTCCCTTAGTCATACTCCCTCCTCAATATATTTCATAATTATGGACCGGCCTTGTTGTTTACCTAAAAAATGAGTAACAATTAAATTTGTACGCGGTTTAAAGAATAAGTGATTTAATTCAATACGAAAAATTAAGAATAACAGATAAATGAATCGAAGACAAAATAAACGATCAAACCAAGCGCAATGTAATGACCAAGTCTAATCTTAGATTGAGCAATGAAACTCGTCCTCGATTAGACCCTCGGTACAAGCTCGGTCGCGAGTGAAGAAAAGAACAAATGAGTATGTCACGATCCAAATCTACCATGTCGTGATGGCGCCTAACGTGGAACTAGGCAATCTGACTCTTTTATCAAAACAACCCGATATTTCAAAATAAAGGTTTCTTCAAGCTATTTAAGTAATAAAACTTCATAAAATAAATCTGAATAACAAAGTGCGGAAAGAAAAGCCCGACATCGGAGTGTCACTAGTCATGAGCGTCTCTAAAAATTGTCCAATAAAACTAAGACTAATACAGTTTGGAAAACGACTAATAACATCTAAAGGAAGATAGGAGGGAGAAGAGCAGGGCTGCGATCGCCATGCAGCTACCTTACTAACTCCACGGATCCGCGACGGATAAAAATCAACAACCGCTAGCACGTCCAGCAACCCCTTGATCTGCATACAAGATGCAGGGAGTAATGTGAGTACGCCAACTCAGTAAGTAATAAAGGTAAATAAAGACTGAGCAGTAGGAAACACATAAAGTCCACATCATGAAATCTCAGTAAGTACAACATCCTTTCAAATTAGTATGTGACTCAAATCATCTCGTTTAAAAATCCAATTTTCAGTAAAAATCATTTGAAGACAATTTTTCATCAGTTTCGATAGGGGCTCAATGCAAAAGAGAGTAAAAGTGATGAAAATTATAAATCGCCCCTCGGTCAAACATCGCTCAAAATCAGCCCCTCAAGCGAACCTCACAATCACTCGTATACAGCCCCTCGGGCATATTACATATCACTCACTCAGGGTACCCGCGCTCACTGGGGTTTTGCAGACTCCGGAGGGGCTCCTACAGCCCAAGCGTTATAACAAGCCACCTCGTGGCATAAATTAATCAGGCCCTCGGCCTCTCATAATCATAAATCAGTAACAACATACTGCAGCGCGCAACCCGATCCCATAATATCCTCACAAGAACAGGCCCTCGGCCTCACTCAGTCATAAACCTCTCAAGCCACTTGAGCTATCAGTGAAAAAAAAACAGGGTGCTCAGCCCAAAATAATATTTTATATGCATCAAAACGGTGTAATAAAGATTGAGTTATGAAATCAGTAAACACAGCATGTCAGAGTATGGATCTTAAATCAAAACAGTGAGAGGATAGTAAAAAAAGACCCCTAAGGGTCCAAACAGTTTTGGCACAAGGCCCAAATATGGCATTCAGCCCAATTTATAGAAAGTCTTTCTAAATC